GTACCCACCTCTTAAAATGATGACCAGCATTCATATTCATGATTGCTATTGCAATATTTTATTGAAAATATTAAGCAAAATTATTTAACAATGTAATATTGTTAAAGAACTCGCCATGAGCTCATTCAATCATTAACTTAAAAATTAAGATTAGGTACCTCAACTTTTTCATTGAAATAACAGCATAGCATGATGAAAAAAGGCCCCATATTTAATAAAAACAAAATTTTATCATTAAAATGTTTATTATTAAGAGGTAGACCAAAGTATTTTTTTTTTTTTTAATCCTTTCTGACACATTCAAAAATCTTTCTTTCTTTTGTTTTTTTTTTTTTTTTTTTTTTTTTGCATCATCAGTCAATGTAAATATTTATTAGTATTTTAGCACCCCCTTTTTTTTTTTTTTTTTTTTCTTCTTTTTAAATTTTTTTCCAGGTGAAAAACACTGATTTGGAAATCTTTGTAAAAATCAAATAATTGTCAGATCTTAATGAAACTTTCAGGATTTATTCACAAATGAATGGAATTACTTCCCCCCGAAAATCTTGTAATTTTTTTTTTTTTTTTTTTTAATATACATATGTTACCCCCACCCCCTTCACACATACACTTAGTTAATTTCATAAAATGTAGAGAAATTAAATTTTCATCCTCAAATCTTTTTAGGCCTCGTTAGAAAATGTAAATCTTTTTTTTTTTTTTTTTTTCATGCTGCTACTCATTTCCTGAAAATCTGCTCTGAATTGCAAAATAAAAAATAAAATAAAACTGATATTATTTAATAATAAAGCTTTTAATTGCTTTTAGAAATAAAATTTATTAAGGACACATTGTCTTAAGAAAATTTTTTTTTTTCTGATGAATGAATTTTTACAAGAATTGTTATTTTTTTTTTTTTTATAATTTTAATTATAATAATTTATTATAATAATTTAAAAAATTTTAAAAAATTTTTACATTGGTTTAATCTTGTTAGGTGATATTATTAAGTGAAAACTATATTTACTAATGAAAAATTGAAAAGCTTAGTACAAATCATTTTACACCAAGAATTTTAAAATAATTTTGTCATCATTTCATCAATTACATAAAATATGGTGATGTCAGTTAAAAACACAACTGTTTGTTTTAAAAAGGCATTTCTGTTATTTCAACTTATTTTATTGGAAGTTTTTTCTTTTTTAATACAGAATATTACTTTGCAATTAAAGACTACTAAAAAGGGACACTAATCCACTATTTTAGTTAAAAAAAAAAAAAAAAAAAGATTCCAATCAATATAATTTCTGTTTGAAATACACCAGAGTATTTTGTTTACTGAAAATGGTAAATTTAATTCCTTAACTTTCAAATAAATCTAAAATGAAAACTTCACTTATAAAAATTCATTTTAACCCTTAGGTATTGCAAATTAGTGTAGATACCTAATCAAGATTCATTAGAAAATTCAAATAAGAAAGTCGTCCTATTTTTATATCTTTCTAGTCTCTCCTAAATTTTGTTCTGCCATCCGTTTACTCATGTTTGCTAGGTAGACTATATATTGTTTCCCTCTGTCCGTCTTGCCTTCAATATGTCTTTTGAACACGAATGGAGGTTTATCCCTTGTTTTCTATTTAGGATTGGATTTCTGGTTCCTTCTAAAGTCTTTTCATTCTCTTTCACTCCCAATAGCCCCTTATGTCTTAGTGGCATTATTGCCTTTGCGATGAATCGATTTAAAAAAAAAAAACAAAAAAACTATCAAATTTTCCAAGCCCTCTTTCCTCATTATGTGTCCTAGAAATTTCAACTCTCTCTTTCTGATGTTAAGTATAAGTTTACTTTTTGTTTACATTTTCTTTAAACTTTGTTGTTGCTAACATGGTATTGTCATCATCCTTCTGTAGAACCAAATTTAAAAAAATAAGCAATATTTCCTGCTGTCTATTATTAGGTTCCCCAGAAGGAAGATTAATTAATCCCATTGTTAATTACAATGTTAACATATTAGGAAATGCCACTGCCAGTATTTAATTAAATGCTTTACTTAATACAACCTTTATTATTTTAATTATCATTTTAATTTTTCATTCTTAATAAGAAAGCTATTTAGGTCAACCTGTGCACTTGGCTACTTACATCCCTTTTCCTATCAAATCATGTCAGCCTCATCATTTCCCTTCAGTATCACTTATTACCAAATCAGGTTTTTTGGTGCTGTAATTATTTAAGAATATGTGCAGCTTGTAGAAAATTGCAATATTCAGTAAAGGAGGGCCCCTTTTCTAAATCGGCATCCTTGGTGGTAATTGACTTGGAAAGAGAGAGAGAGAGAGCTAACTAAGAGTTTTCTTTCATCTGTATTAAGTGTGACTCATAAGTTGGTTTTTCTGAAACCCACACAAAATTGCAAAACAGCAGAAAAAGGGTGTCTAATGCAAAATGTGAAAATAAAGATTAAGTCCAGAAATCCAATCTGAATTTAGAATAAAGAATTTTTTTTTTTTTTTTTAACTTTTTGAAAACATTGTTTTTATAATTTGATAGCAATATTGAAATTTTTCCTTCAACTTTTTAAAAAGTTTAACCTTTACCAATCTGAAGGCAATTTCATTTCTTAAATTGTTTCAGGATTCTAAAAGATAAAATATTCATATTTGTCAGTTAATTATTTTGGACAATTGTGTTTTTTTGTCTTCTGTTTGTTACTTGAAAGGGCATGAAATTATTATACTCACCATATTGAATTTTAATATCAAGGATGTTTTTTGAGACTACATATAAAGAAAGAGACTTGTATAGCAGCAGATGGAAAACACATTTTTATACATTCTTTTTTATAAACTGGCATTAAATTCACAAGTATTTTTTGTTGTTGTTAATATGCCTCTACAAAGTGGTTTCTCTTTTCACACTTTTCAATATGCTACAATAATACGGAATCTTTCAAGTTATTTGTCTGCAGTGACTTAATTATTATCATTTATTGCTATTAAATTTGCTATTGACCTTTTATCAATTTCTGTAGAACTTGGAAATCATCTATCAATTTACTGTATTGATATTCTCCCAGTTAAGAACATTTGAAGAGTAACAAGTATTAAGTGACTTTCTTAAGGTCTGGTTAAAATGCATTCTAGAAGATGTTAACATTTGACAAACATAAATATACTTGCTTTTTTTTTTAATATGAAACTATATTTCTTATTTGGACTTGTATACAATACTAAAACGAATATCAAATTTACGTACATGTAATATTTAAACTTTAGTTCTAGGCTATAGTCTTACAGTTTGAAAAGCATAAAGCTTTCACTATTATTGATTGATTGATTCATTTATTTGTATAGTGACATTTTACTTACCATTGTTGGTTATAAACTTTTTAGGATTAAATCTGTCCCTTCTCACAACTTGACAAGAGACTTGACTTCTAATCAATGGGACTATGGTCATTGGTCTAAAGAATTACATTACTATTAATGACTTTTGTTGTTATGTATGACAAGAGTATGTTGAGATGGGGGGAACGTCTAATTGCTCTCTCAACCACTATGGGAGTAATAGGTAGAGAGGGGAAAGAAACAGGAGGTAACAAAAATAACACTGCCACAGAAACCACAGCAATTTTAGGAGCAAAATGCCCACAAGACCAACTTCACAAGACACTGTGTCCTGCTGTCTACTGGTTTTACCACTGCTTTTATTGGCATGAGGCATCTTAGAAAGACAGATCTTAACCAGTTCCAGAGAGGCCTGTATCTGGACATGCCAAGCTGTCCTGCTGCTAATGTGAAAAACCAGGATGTAACTGGTGTTGACAAACATGCCCGCATGTGATCCAAGGCCCCTTTTGTGTCTGTACTGATGTGCATTCTCCACACATTTCTTTTGGTGGCTGTTGTAGCAATTATTGTAAACTTCTTAGGCTAGTGGTTAAATTGTTTTACCCTTTTTTTTGTCATGTTGCATCCTGTGGAGGTTTACCTCTTTTCTCTTTGGCAAATGCAGAGATCTTTCATTATTCAAATTCAGCACTAATTTCCACTTTGTTCTCTACTGACACCCCCTTTATGTGTGTGTCTTAAAATTCAATCTCTATATGCTTTTGCCTGTTGAAAACCATTCATTCTCTGTTTCTGCTCCTGGGTTACAACCTGATGCTCTATAAGACAACTGTTGAACTCTCTGCACTCTGCCTGACTGGCGTTTGTCTCTCAACCAACTTCTATCAGAACTCTAGTTTTGTCTGTAAACATGCTGTGAATATAAGAGCAATCTATCCCTTTGTTCTGTCAACTACAATGTTCACATTAGATTCCTTCTTGTGGCTTCCAGTTCACTACTTGACCAGTAAACCAACTTTTATACATAATGTTTTTTGCAGCATGACAAAATGTTCCCTCAGCCAATTTAGATCAGCTGGACTAATTTGCTAGTTGACCTCCTATGATTAGGACTGTTTTGCTTGTTAGTAATTTATGTAAATATTTGAATTATAGGCTTTTCTCTGGCTAGTTTTGTATAAGGCTAACCATCTGTCATCATTTTTCCCAGCTCACCGAAGTAGTGATATATTTTTAGTTGATACACAATTTATCTGGTTAACTGTTAGTTAAACCTAGATTCAAACAATAAACTCTTTCATTGGATTTATTTATCAGAAATAATTAGTCTTTTTTTCATTTATTGCTTCTTAGAGGAAAACCTAATGAATCTTTCTTCATCTCTTTCTTCTGACTAAACAACAACAAAAAAACAAAAACAAAAAATAAAACAGTATCTTTATCTTGAGTGATGCACAATGGAGTCCAAGTATCTCTGGGGTACAGTGTATATCAAGTAACAAGGTTGTGTCCCTGCCTATCCTGTCACGGATATCAATTCAGTGATTTTTCCCTTCTATAATGTTACTGTTAAAACAAAATTTCATTTTTTTTTTTTTCTTCCTTCTGCATGCAACACAACTTCAAAGAAAATAGGATTATTTGTATAGTTGATGATGTCAGATGTTGGCTTATGGCCACATCATATTGAAACAACAGCTTCTGTACAATCACTGAAGTTAGGCAACGTTGGGCCTGATCAGTACCTAGATGGGTGACCACTTGTGAATACCAGGTGCTGTAAGCACTGATGTATGGGTGGTGTAATGGATAATGGTTTGGAAGTGCCAAGTTCCAATTTCAGTTAGGTTTGTTTTATTCACTTACACACAAATACCCTTGGCAAAGGTATGAATCCACCTCTTCTCCCTCTTGAGTTATGGGTTAATTAGTTATTGTGTCACTGAATCATTATTTCTCCACAAAAATTCTTACAATCTAAAAATTTCTGGCTTTAAATAACTTGCAAAGGGTTAATAAACCATAAAAACAAATCAAAGGAAAATGCCATAAGACATTTTTTTGTTTTAACCTATGCAACTCTACTTATAATTTAATGTTATCTTTTGTTAACGAAGTATAATATTTGTATTTTATTTCCTTTTTATTATCCATTTGTTGTGGAAATAAATATTATTACTTTTCTACAAGCCCCAAGTTTTAAATCTATTGTATATCTATATTGAACAGATATGTACTTATATGGAAATGTTTTGTTTGTTTTTTCTTGTAGCTGCAGAATATGGCCTCTTCCTTGCTGATGATGATCCAAAAAAAGGCACATGGTTAGAACCTAGCAAACCTCTAGAATATTTCCTGTTGAGAAATGGGGTAAGTAAGATTTTTTTTTTCTTTTTGTCTCAAACAGCCTGAGTGTGGAATGCTTTGTTTCCAGCATGCAGCACTTTAAAAAAATGCATTGGTGCCTCTGAAATCTCCATTGATCTTCAGACTTATTTATTCTCTGGTTTATCTAAATGATAATATTAGCTGTTTCCTTATGAGGAAACATTTGGCATTCATTAACCAAGCAGCCAGTGCTACTTTTGTTTGAAATTTATAAAATCTTTCTATTAAAACGATTTTTCAAGAAAATAAGTTTCTCAAGTCCACTTGGTGTTATTGCTCTTTCCAGTACTGATATGGGGTTCCTTCCTTTGCTTAAAGTAGTGTGGAATGTCAACATTTTGATGATGTAATTATTTTCACTTCGAGTTAAATGTGCTATCCATTTTAGATGTTGCTGTTGTTGAAAGTCCTCAAGTGATGTGGTTTCTGTTATTTGGTACGGTTCTTTGTGATTCTGTAATATCAGTTCACAAGGTATACAAACAGGGTAAATCCTCACAAAGAACTACAGGTTTAATTCGTTCAAAACCATCTTTAACCATCTGAGAAAACCATTGTATACAGCTGAGAGTTGAGATATTTCTGAATGAATCAGATGCCACGGATGACCATCTATCTGATGAGGCAGTTTAAGAATATGACTCAAGCTTTTATGTTAATGTTTTGGTTTTATAGCAATTTACAGTATTGGACAAAACTACTTCTCATGCAGCCTATTCCATGTTAAATTTCCTTATTGCTTACACTAAATTTGTTATAATTGATCCATACACCAACAAGAAATGGTATAAAATCTTTTCGAAATTGATTATAAAAGAATAGACATATTAGATCATTTTACTCCATGTGGACAGACTCAATATTTAGTATATAAAGAAAAGTTTTCCTTTGATAAAAATCTTACATTGTGCCTCATGCATTAGTATAATTTGTAGGCCACAAGGCTTAAAGGTGTTTCAGGGAATATTGCATCATCAAGCCTGACAATTTCATATAAGTATGAAACAGACTTTTGTAGCCTTGAATCAAATTTCTCCTGGGGTTTTGGAGATATACTCCTATAATAATAGATATTCTGAAACTACATTACACCAGTTACTTGGATAAGTATATTTTATTTTGATCAAAGAGGGTGACTTTGGGGCACAACCCCACCATCCTTGAAAATTTTTTCCCTTTGATTTAAATTAAATTTAAATTTGAACAAGGGAATGACTCCTATCTAAAATATAGAAGGGAGAATGCCAGAAGATGGAGGTTACATCAGCAAAGATCAAAATGAAACAATATGGACATCAAGTTGAACAAGAAATCACCAATCAGTGGGTAGTGCTTTACAATACTTATTTGTTGTGACAATTCAACTGTCATATTGATGTTGAAATCTGCTCAGCAATTCATTCAATCAATTATTGCATCAAATACATATCAATGGGATCAGATCAAGCTGTTTCTGCACTGAATTTTTTTCCCTTTAAATTAAATTTAAATTTGAACAAGGGAATGTCTCCTATCCAAAATATAGGAGGAGAAAGCTAGAAGATGGCGGTCACATGGGGAAAATAGTAATATTGAAATATCATTTTTCTACACAAATTATAACAATGATTTAAAATCAATCATCATTTTCTTACAAAAGAAATATGTGACATGCAACAAGGCACAACTAATATATATATATATATATATATATATATATGAGATGAGGCATTGTAACTATCTACATTATTCAGACTGTTTTCCTCATCTTTATTGCCATATTCACAATGTTTCTGAATACTTTATTTAGTATAAATAAAGGGTTGTTTGAAAATCCAAGAAATATCACCTGAAGAAGGCCAGTTCATGCAATCACAGAAAAGTTGTAAATATGGCAATAAAGATGAGGACAACAATCCGAACAATATAAATAGTGTGTTTGTATGGAATTTGAGATGCCTCGCTTTTGATAATATTGGGTCTCTTTGTTCTTTTGGCATTGAGACAATTTCTAAAAGCGTGAAAATAATGAAATCAATTTTGTTTTAATCACTCTCATGATTCCGCACCAAAATAATTGATTTCATAAATTGTGGAGATCATAAATTGGAATCTGTATGCTGTTGGAGAGAACCAACACAAAAATGGTATTGCGAAAGTTAAAACTTCAATGAGAAATATTCCCATGTCATTTGTTTGATTGACTGGTTTGATAACTTAAGCCAACCAACATTCTATTTATGAATAAATAAGCACCATTTAAATAAAATTATTACAGATTAATTTTATTACCATAGTATTAACAATGTCAGTTCTGCCTTTGTGTGTGTATAATAAATACACATACATACATATGTATGCATGCACACACACACACACACACATAAATAAAATTTAAGTATTAATATGTCTTGCACATATTTAAATGACCCTTTTAGAAAGTCTTTTAAAAATATAAATTAAGTGGGTGAATGAAAATGACTAAAAAAATTTTCCAAGTAACATATATTGGATACATAAGCTGTCTAGGGAAATTAAAACCCAGCCATCCCTAAATTGAAATAGAATTTTCTTAACCATAACAACTCATAATATCAATATTGTCTGCATTTATAAATTAAGTAAATTTCTTTGAAAGTTTATCCTTATCATCGCTTGACATTGGAACAAGACTATGGATTTTAAGTTTAATTTTAATAAGTAAATTTATAAATTTAGTTTCAGTTTTGAAACGTGGAAATTTTCTGTCGTGATGAAATCATATTTTTAAAAAGAAAATAATTATATTTTACTTTACTGTTTTGTGTATTTATATATTCATATCAAATAAATCGGATATAAATTCCAACATTCGTAACATTAATTTAAAAGAGGGCTCAATACAAAAGTAGAGCAATATTCTTTATTTTAGGATATTGCATCAAAAGATGAATAACACTGCATAAATGCAATCATGTTTCAATGTCTATTAACACATTTCATCAGGCATATTAGTAAATGACGGGTTAGTAGACAATTTATTAAAATTTAAAACAACATATAACCTCTTTACACACACAAAAAAGATAGAGTATGGAAGAAAGACATCCAATACAATTTCTTTTCCAGAGAAAAGGAAGAATAAGGAAAAAAAAAATGTAGGAAAGAAGAGGGAGATGATAGCAACAGAATTTGTTTTGTTAATAATCAGATCCACCAATCACACTAAGTAAGAGATCATGACCTACCAATTTAAAATCATAGACAAATTAGATGTTATATTCGATACAAATGCAAGTTAGCTACAATGTTAACATAAGACACATGACATTTTGTATGAGTAGGGGAAACATAATTTAACAAGGCACTTGGCAAACCACATACCTTGTGAGTTAAAATTTCACAATTTTATAGTTGATAAATAATATGGCTCTTTTAGAAATAAATAAAAATCAAAGGAAAAAAGATTTAACAAAATTATTAAAAATATAGAGATCAAACAAAATATATAAGTAAATAGATCAAACAAAACTTTAACCATATAGATTATATAAATTAATTAAAAATATAGATCATACAAAATAGAATGTGACTGTTAACTAAGATGTCTTATATAGGATGTTAATAAAACTAATCAATGGAACATGCCAACATGTTAGCCAAATGCATATACCCCTAGACTAAATATTACCAGTAGTACTAGAAGAATAATTTACAAATTATACTATGTGGGAATTGATCTTACTGACAAAAGATAGGCTTTATATGGTGCAACAAGGTTATTCTAAAATATAAGAAGCAGCAATTGTCAAATTTCAGTCTAGAGTCAAAGGTATATGTTTACAATTAACTGTTAATTCAAATCTTTGATTTAATAAATTACCTCTCTTCAAAAACATGCTAATCTGCATTTTCTCCTGTAAACACAGAAAACAGGGTTCTTATAAGGATCTACATGTCCTTGCCAGTTTTAAAATTTTCCATTTAACTTCAGGATTTTTTTTTTCATTTTTCAACTTCCAAAAATAATTTGAAAATGAAGTATTATTTCTATAAGTAATATTAGCAAAAGAAGATATGTGCTGATACCACTGGGTTTTGAAAGAATTCTTAGTACTACCACTTTCAGAACCTGATGGTATCAGCACATATCTTCTTTTACTAATATTACTTATATTTCATTTATGTAGCATTATTCACATGTTTTGATGTAATATCCTAAAATAAAGTGTGTGTGTATGCATGCATGTGTGTTTTTATAATATATATATATATATATATATTATAATAATAATAATAAACGTTTTTAGTAGTTATTTGTATTTGAGTAGAGCTCCATTTATTTATTAAACAATATATTTATTTCCGTCTATCAGAGACTGTTACATAATTTAAATTTTAATCAAAATATCTGGTTGACGCAGTTCATATATTATAC